ACACAAAAAAAAATTCTTACTAAGTTGAAAAAAGAAATTAATAAAAAAGAAAAGAAGAAAAGAAAACATTATGACATTCTGTTGGTGCCCCGACCCGACAATCCACACCATGGGTTTCTTCCCCCTCCCCTGCCCCCACAACAAATTTCAAAATTACATGGATTAGAAAAGAAAAAAGAAAATATATATTCATATATATAACCTGAATACGTGTCAGAAGACAATTGGCTATAGTAAAGCCAATGTCCAATGGACACGTGTGATCACAAACATTCCATGCAACCTGTGATGATCAAATCCTTGTTCGTTATTTTTCATGATGATCATCATCTTCAAGGTTTTATATACAGAACTCTAATGGAAAAACAGCCTCTCTCTCTCTCTCTCTCTTTCTCTCTCATTGGTTTTTATTTGTTTTAGTTGAAGTTTTGATGTGATTAAGTGAGAAAGATGATCAACCTAATGCACTAAATCCACCTCCCTTCATCATTTGCTTGAACTCCTTGTAATTGACCATTCCATCTCCATCGACATCCACCTTCATGATCATCTTCTTGCAATCCTCAACAGTTCTCCCTTGCTTAAGCCCCAAGGAAGCTAGAACTGACCTCAATTCCTCGACGGTGATGAATCCATCGCCGTTCTGGTCAAAGACGTTGAACGCTTCTCTCATGTCCTCCTCCTCGTCTTTCTCGTTCATAATCGACTGGTACAGCTCTCCGAACTCGTCAATGTCCACGTATCCATCGTTATTAACATCAATTTTCTCGATCATTTGAGTCAGATCTTTGTCCGGGATGAAAATCCCCAAATTCTCTAACGAGTCGTTTAGTTCCTTCTTCGTGATTCGCCCGTCGCCATTGCGATCGAACATCTGGAATACTCTTCGTAGTTCCGTCGGATCCATGGATTAAAACAGAGATAAACGATTGGATTGTGGAGATCTCAACTGCCGACGGGAAGATTATAAGAGATTAACAGAGGAAAGAAAAAGAAACGAAAAATTTATGCTAAATAAAGGGATGGATGGATGGATGATGAAGACGAGGAGGATGATTGTGGAATTTGATTGTTGGTTTCAGGGAAGAGAAACAGAGAGGAGGAATTAATGTGGAAATGGAGAACGTAAGAAGGGAAAAATCTAGGGAGAAAATGGCTGGAAAAATGGTAGGAAAGAAACTGTATGCGGTGGAGCCTGTTTGGTTGCCGAGAAAATTCAGCAGAGAAATTAGGGTTTGTAACGAACAGAAGGAAGAAGACGAACCAACGGCTTCAATGCCAAGCGAGTTCTTCACGATTCATTTTACTATTTTTCTGCGAATTTATTAACGATCTTATTGAATTTTAGGTATTTATTGTTTTTCGTTGGAGTGTTAATGCCTTTATATATATATATATATAATGTTTTAAAAAATGACGAAAAAAGAGTTTTGTTCAAAATAGAAATAAATAGAAACCGGTTTCAAAGTTCTTAAGCCACTCCTCAATCGACTCTTCGCAGTGTAAGAGTTTGGATCCATCGTTTACTCTCTGCTTGCTTCCTCCCGCAATCTTCAACCAGGTACGCTAAATCTTCTTTTTCGTCTCTCAATTTCTACGATTTCTTTTTCCTTTTCTTCTCTGTTTCAATTAGTAATCTCTCTGGTTTGCCGCTGGAAATTCGTAGATCAAGAATTTTGAGTATATCATTTTCATTCTCAAGAAATTTTACTTAGTGCGTGTTTCGACTGAGAATACAACCTGTTCATTAGATTTCAAATTGTGTTGTTTCTCCACTTTCTCGGTAGTCAAACAGATTTGTGATTATGAATGATATTGTGGAGTTTTGAGTTTCTGAAGTTGAATGTATAATGAGATTAGTTTGGCTTTCTGGAATTTGTTTTGTTCTTCAAGCCTCGCTGACTAGAAGAGTGTAAGATTTTTCTTTTTGAGTTTGTTAATTGGCTGAAGGTACCAACTAGCCCTAACTCACCAAGTTCACATCTGAAGTCTTTAATTTGTTTTGATTCGTTGAGCTTCTCTGCAGATTCATATTCATGTGTCGTGTAATGAGATTAGAAATGAAACTTCTTCCAAATTGCCTAAGATTTGGATCTTTTTGCAATGGTGGATGTGAGTAGGAGTTCTGTAACCTGCAGTTGTTTAGAATTCTTCCTGTGAGCTTACTTATAACTCCGAACTTGAGCTGTTTTCTGTTTCCCTAGAACCAAAAGATAAACATACATTTTTAAGAAAATATCTATTCACTCTCCTCCTCACCCATGAAACTCCCTCAATCATGTCTTAGGTCCGTATACTCTTCGGTCAAGGGTAACACAAGCTCAAGTCCACTACTAGCACATATTCTCTTTTTTTAACCTTTCATTTCAGGTTTTTCTTCAAGATTTAAAATATGTTTGCTAGGGAGAAGTTTCCACACCCTTATAAACAATGTTCCGTTTCCCTCTCTAATCGACGTGGGATCTCACAATCTACCTCTCATGGGCCCGACATCCTCGCTGGTACATCCCCCAGTGATTGGCTCTAATACCATTTGTAACCGTCTAAGCCTGATCCTGGAAGGGGAATAAAACATTCCTACCCACATAAAACATTCCTACCCACATTGTTTGGAAGGGGAATAAAACATTTCTACCCACATTGTTTGGAAGGGGAATAAAACATTCCTAATAAGGGTGTGGAAACCTCTCCCTCGCCAATACGTTTTAAAAACAAACCGTGAGGCTAACAACGATACGTAACGGGCTAAAGCGAACAATATGTACTAGCGGTGAATATGATCTCTCCCATAGGTCATTCTCTACCCAAAGAGTGACCCGTTAGCATGTAGATTGTTTTATTTCTTCACTCCATTAAATACGGATCAAGCTTTTTGATCCATAAACGACCTAGTGTGTCACTGATGATTCTAACTTGTGCAGGTTGCCAGGTAAAATAGAAGCTTGCATCCAGGCTTCTTCTCTAGTTGAATGGTAAGAACTTCCATCATTCTAAGGATGAGATTAAGTGAATGTGATGCCGATAGGTTTCATATCTGAAAGAATTTCTGATTACTATATGATATTCACTTCAAAAAATGAATTGGGCCTGAGCCTGTTTTTGAAGAAATTGCCCTTTTCCTGTTTATGAATTGGACAAATTGAATATTATGCAACTTTAAATGATTTGCTTCACTAATAATACCAATGTGAATTTTCTATGCAAAACAATTAATGAGGCTTAGTGATGCAATTTCAAATACTGAATAGGACAAAAGTTCCCTTAATTTGGTACTTTTTTTCTTTTAAAAAATATTTTAATTAAAAAACCAAATATATATTTTAAATTAATTTGTCTGATTTATAGCTATAGTTTTATAATATTTTTTTTTATAAAATTATTTTTGTGGGGCTCATGTTCTTTCAACTTTCATTTCCCTAATTTTGGGGATTTAATATATATATAGATATATATATATATATATTAAATGATCCATTTATTATTTTCCTTTTAAAATTTTATATTATATAATAAACACTTTTATCATTATTCTAATGGATTATTTAGCATAATTGAAATTCTTTGATTAAATAATTAAATAAATATAAATTCATTATTTTTAGTTTATGAGCTGTATAATGGTAAATTTTGGTAATTGGTTTTGTTATAATGATTTTACTATTTTTATAGCAAAGTTATGTCTGTACTTATTTATTAAATTGAAATGAAACAAAAAAATTAAATGCCTAAATAATTAGATAAAAATATATAATAAATTCAAATTTCACATGATTTGTTGGGTGCCAGCTTGGTCCAAGCTATTAATGGACAGCTTCAAAGTTTCTGGTTAAATAAAATTATTAATTTCTTTACAAGAAAAATGTATTAATGCAATTATTTTTTTATTTCGTTAAATTATAAATTTATTTTTGTTCAATAGGGCAATAGTGTAGTTAATTAATGATACATTGATAGATTGATGAAAATTAATTAATATTACTATTTTATTAAAATTAATGTATAATTAATAGATAAACTGAGTTTAGCTTAGCGGTAATTACATACCTTTATTTAAAAATGGAAATTACAAATATCAATAAGGATTGGTCTCCACAAATTGGGACATTTTAGGTCATTTTTCAACCTTCATCACATGTACATAATGTTTTATTATACTTTATTTTGGGAATGATATATTCGAAGGAATACTCATAAATTAAGTAATAATTTTTATTTTTATTTTTATTTCAACCATCAAATTTGGATTTTATTTATCATATTTTGTGGGGCTCCACGCTCATTGATTTATTTATTTATCTTTAGTGCAAGACATTTATGTTATTATATTCAATTTAAAATGGAATAATTTAATTAGTGTCCTTTTTGGAATGTGTTTCATCGATGAGAATGATACCTTCTTAATTACTTGTAATTTTCAATGTTCTATTTTAATGATTTGTCTAACTCAAATCAGTGACGCTCCAATAAATCCAATAAATACAATCTAAATTGTACACGGTAACGTCTCACATTCAAGATTTGAGCCATCTAGATTTACATTCAAGATTCGACATTCTTTTATGATATAACCACGTTATTATAAAAGGTCACTCAACATAAAATTCAAACACGCTTAATTTTCAAATGCTTATGATTGGCTTCCCAAGTGATAATTTTAGTATACATAGTAACCATCATTTTTTTAAAAAACTTTATTTAACCATAATTTTTAAAAGAACAGGTAGTTATCACATATACTATAAAAATGTACTGTTTTTTTGTTTTTTGTGAAACTCAATCATAGAAACTTCAAAGTTAAATGTGTTACATAGAATAACATCCTAAAATAAGTTAGGATGTTCGATGAGGATAATTTTAGTTCTCACAAACAATTGAGAAGAAAATATATGAAGGACTTAAAAATTTGATAGCTTACCCTTTTAGAACAAAGTGTTTTTATTTTTATTATTTTTTAAATATTTAATAAAATAATAATAACAATAATAGAAGTAGAAAAGACCAATTAAAAGACCATAATTTATTTATTTTTGGTCCAAATAGAAACAGAATAGAAGTAGAGGCGAGAGGTTTAAATCTATATATTTTCTCGAAGTTTTAAGAGTTGACCCTAAAAAAAAAAAAAATTGAAAATTTGAGAAAAAATAGAATAATCACAGAACTTGAAACCATAAGTATGGAATAGGAAGAACTGCAGAGAAAGTATAAACAAAAGCAGAAGCAAAAATGGTTGAAAATGCTTCGAAAAAGGACACTAATTAAATTCAATAGAGAGAAAACAGAGCAGCACCTTGTTTGGAACAAAAGCTCGTCCCCCCAGTTCTTCAAGAAACTTGAATCCACGGCCAACAACACAACGCCCCTGTAATTAGTAAACGAGGCCAAAGATTGAGTGAAATTGTTCAAGCAAAAACTGAACAGAAAACAATGAAAAGGGCTTTGGGGATTGGATTTGGTGGTGTGTAGTGCAGTAATCCGTGCATGAAAGATAAAAAAAAAAAGGCATTAACTTCCTCCCATTTAATGCCTTCACCTACGCTTTTCCCAATGTCAGAAGCTGTAATTTCGGCCTTTTAAGTCTCTTTTCTTTGAACCCTTTTCTCTTCTTCTCTTCTTTCTCTGTTCTTCCTTTTCCTTTCATCAATTCTCATGGATGTCTCTTGGAAGGAGAGGATCTTGCAGCATTCTGAATTTCTTGGGTTTTGAAAGAGAATGAAGTGAGTTTTTCTGGGTTTTTTTTAGATGTTCTTGAAGAAGATGAGTGGTTGGAGAGGTGGATTGTTTGTGGAATTGGTTGTTTTTGCAGATATGTGTCTGATGGTGTCTGGTTTAGGCTCTATGGCTTCTGTGGCTGTTTCTTATGGCGAGAAAGGGCCTGTTTTCTGTGGTTTAATGGCAGATGGGTCTCATCTCGTGAGCTGTTTTGGTTCAAATTCAGCCATAACTTACGGAACTCCTTCTCATTTCCCCTTCATTGGTCTCACTGCTGGTGATGGTTTTGTTTGTGGGCTTCTTTTGGATTCCAACCAGCCTTACTGTTGGGGAAGCAGTGGCTATGTTCAAATGGGTGTTCCTCAGCCCATGATCAAAGCCGCTCAATACCAGGAAATCAGTGCTGGTGATTACCATCTCTGTGGCCTCCGAACACCGCTAACTGGAAGGCATAGGAACAACACGTCTTTTGTTGATTGTTGGGGTTACAACATGACAAGAACCTTTGTGTTTGATGGCCCGATTGAATCGATCTCGGCAGGGTCTGAGTTCAACTGTGGGCTGTTTTCTCTTAATAGAACTGTTTTGTGTTGGGGCGATGAGACGAGCAGCCGGGTCATCAGTTTGATACCTAAAGATATGAGGTTTCTAAAGATTGCTGCTGGTGGATATCATGTTTGTGGGATTCTAGAGGGCATTAAGGCGAGGGCGTTCTGTTGGGGAAGGAGCTTAGACATTGAAGGAAGTGCAGACTTGGTTCCAGTTGATCCATTAGACTCTGTTGTTGGGGGCAAGTTTCATGCTTGTGGGATCAAGAGCATGGACCGTGGTGTGATTTGTTGGGGCTTTACAGTCAAACCAAGCACTCCAGCGCCGGATGGGATTAAGGTTTATGACATAGCAGCTGGAGATTACTTCACTTGTGGAATTCTAGCTGAGAAATCTCTCCTGCCTGTTTGCTGGGGTCTTGGATTTCCTAGTTCTATACCCTTAGCTGTGTCGCCTGGAGTCTGTAAAGCAACTCCTTGTGCTCCTGGTTTCTATGAACTAAGCCAAGACAGTGCTCGGTGCAAGTCGCCGAGTTTTCGTGTGTGTATGCCCTGCAGTACTACATGCCCTCCTGAGATGTACCAAAAATTTGAATGCTCCTTAAAATCTGATAGACAATGTGAATATAACTGTTCAAGTTGTTTTTCTTCGGAGTGTTCATCAAACTGTTCATCCATTAGTTCAAATGGCTTGATGGGGAAGAAAAATGAGAAGTTGTGGTCAATGCAGCTTCCAGCTCTGGTAGCAGAGGTTGCTTTTGCTCTGTTTTTGGTAGCTATTGTGTCGCTAACTGCGATCTTATACGTTCGGTATAAGTTACGGAGCTTCCATTGTTCCGAAAAGGAGTTGAAGTCTAAGAAGAACCAAGGGACTGCCTCTTCCTTCCAGAAGGAAAGCTACAAAATACGTCCCGACTTAGATGAGCTAAAGATAATGAGGGCTCGGATGTTCACTTACGAAGAACTCGTGGGAGCGACGTGCGGGTTTAAGGAAGATTCAATGGTGGGAAAGGGAAGTTTCTCCTGTGTTTTCCGAGGTGTTTTAAACAACGGGACGGTTGTAGCAGTGAAACGAGCTATAATGTCTCACAACAAGCAGAAGAATTCAAAAGAGTTTCACACTGAACTTGACTTGCTGTCAAGATTAAACCATGCTCATTTGCTTAATCTACTTGGTTATTGTGAAGAAGGTGGAGAGAGGCTTCTAGTTTATGAGTTCATGGCTCATGGTTCCTTATATCAGCACCTTCATGGCAAGAACAAGGCCTTGAAAGAGCAACTAGATTGGATAAGAAGGGTCACCATTGCAGTCCAAGCAGCAAGGGGAATTGAATACTTGCACGGCTATGCTTGTCCTCCCGTCATCCATCGGGACATCAAATCGTCAAACATTCTTATTGACGAGGAGCATAACGCTCGAGTAGCCGATTTTGGCTTGTCGTTGTTAGGGCCAGCGGATGGCAGCTCTCCATTAGCAGAGCTACCGGCCGGAACTCTTGGCTATCTTGATCCTGAATACTACAGACTTCACTACCTTACAACCAAGTCTGATGTCTATAGCTTTGGTGTTTTGCTACTCGAAATTCTCAGCGGTAGAAGAGCCATTGATATGCAATATGAAGAAGGGAACATAGTAGAATGGGCAGTGCCATTGATCAAATCTGGAGATATCTCTGCAGTTTTAGATCCGATACTAAAACCGCCATCCGATATCGAGGCCTTGAAGAGGATAGCAAACGTAGCTTGTACATGTGTGAGAATGAGGGCGAAGGAGAGGCCATCAATGGACAAAGTCACGACGGCATTGGAACGTGCTCTTGCCCAGTTAATGGGAAGTCCATATAATGAACAACCAATCTTACCAACGGAGGTGGTTTTAGGAAGCAGTAGACTGCATAAAAAGTCATCTCAAAGATCATTGAACCATTCTGTCTCCGAAACGGATATAGCAGAATCTGAGGATCAAAGGTTCGAGTTCAGAGCTCCATCGTGGATTACGTTCCCGAGCGTGACGTCGTCCCAGCGGAGGAAATCCTCAGCTTCGGAAGCAGATGTTGATGGAAAGAATTTAGAAGGAAGAAATGGGGATGGATTGAAGAGTTTAGAGGAAGAGATTGAGCCTGCTTCCCCTCAGGAAAAGCTGTTCTTGGAGCACAATTTCTAAAGTGAGAACTCATTGAAAAACAAAGCAAAACCCAGAAGGGAAAATTCAAAAGCTTTGATTTTTATTCCAAATTCTATCTCTCAGTGATATGAAGGAAAAAGAATGAGATTCAACATGAAATTCTAAGCTGTTTGTTTTTTATTAATGGAAAATAAACTAATAAAGTTAAGTGTTGAAGCCATGAAAATGATGGCATTCCCAGCAAATACATACCTAGAAAAGTTGCTACGCACAAGGGCAAAGTCTCATGGTATGTGGGTGTGAGCCATCACAAGTAAGGATTGACTGTGCGCTACTATATAAGCATGCTCCTGGATTCTGAAGTTCATAAGATAAACAAAATGTGTTAAAACTCGTATGTAATGTGCTATACATAAAGAACAGGACACCGTACCAGTTCTTCAGGAGCATTATAAGCAACTTCAGCAGGGTGATCAGGCCCAACACTTTCTATGCAACCTCCTTTGCAGCTCATGTGTTTTTGTATTCTATCATACCCAAATTAGAAAAAACATGTTTTAATGGCTCCATAAGAAACGAAGGAAAAGAAAACAGCAGATTACTCACATGTCACAATGATTTAGGACCAAAATCTTGTTTGAGACGCATGATTGTTCATTTGACTTGCAAACTGAATCACATGATTCTCCTTGTCTATCGTAGATTCAGTTCAGAAGAGTGAGATAGAGATCAAACAGCGTATATAATAAACAATCCTAGCTACCCTGACCTTCCAACAATGACATTGATGCCATTCAGTCTGAATTCTAGTTGTGTGCTGCTCACTCCTACGAAGTCCAAACTTTGGAAATGAATCATAAACATCACAGAATGCTTAAAGAAACTATAATGACTACATGGTTTGAATTCAGAACTCAGTAGCTAACCTGAAGAATATGATGGCAGGGAAAAGCAATGATGGTAATCACTGTGATAAGCATTTTCATGCACCTGAGAATTTGAAATTCAATCAAATATTTCAACTCTCTAAAGAAAGATAAAATGCAATAACACAATGCAGGACACTTACAACACTCTCAGAATTATGACGACACCTCCCAGCACAGAAATCAAAGACACTGGCATATGTCCCTGCATCATTTACCACAGTTTCATATATTTAATCTCAGACTAAATTATGATCTCAAATCCACTCCAAGGGGGAATGATTCCTTAAATGAAAAGTAAGCTTCACATGAATATTAATCGTAAAATACTGTTCCAAAACATTAACGGTCAGATCCCACGGTAGTTAGGGCGGAGGACGAAGCATTTGTTATAAGAGTGTAAAAACTTATCCCTAACAAATGTGTTTTAATAACCTTGAAGGGAAGCCTGAGAAAATCCAAAGAGGATATAATATGTGCTAGTAGTGGGTTTGGGCCATTACAAATGGTATCAGAGCCAGACATCGGGCGATGTACCAGAGAGGAGGCTGAGCTTCGAAGGGGATTAGACACGAGGCAGTGTGCCAGCAAGGACGTTGGGTCTTAAAGGGAGGTGGATTGAGGTCCCGCATCGATTGGAGAAGGAAATGAGTGTCAACGAGAACATTGGGCCTTGAAGAGGGTGGATTACGAGATCTCACATCGGTTGGGGAGGAGAACAAAACATTATTTATAAGTGTGTGGAAACCTCTCCCTAGCAAACATATTTTAAAACCTTTAAGAAAAAGCTCAAAGAAGACAAGATCTACTAGCGGTGGGCTTGAACTGTTACATTCATATATAGAGCGTTAGTGATCACCTGCCGTGGCTGGCTTGGAAATTTTGATTTTTAGTATTTGTTCTCCTTTTGTCTGCAACCATCATCATCCAGAAATGCACCAGTTTTTAGATTCCATAGCAAAAATGAAGCATAAGAAGAATTAGAAACCCATCATACCTTTGAAGGATTCAGGCAGCATGAAACACAATATTCATACGAATTGCAACATTGTGAAACAAGATTGCACCCACTGCAACGTGTAAAAAGAAAAAACAAACAATAAGGTAGCTTGACAGAGCTCTTACACTCCTCATGGGCCATTGGAGGGAGATTTATTTGGAAAAAAAGAAAAAAAGAAAAAAAGAAAAAAAGAAAAAAAAAACTCACTGACAAGGAAATTTGTCCCCTTTGCCAAGGCAGCAATGAGATAGTGGATCAATAGATAAAGCATCACATACACGACCTGCAATGGAAGCTATATCCATCAGGTTCTGTGGGTTACTAGCAATTTCTAACAAAAGCATGTCTTCAATCACAGGATATTGTTCAGGGATATTCAAGGTAACTGTAAAAAAAGAATGAAGAACTGAAGTAGCACTGCGAGATAATGAAAGAAATATTACCATTATCATCGGTCAGTAAATATCTTCCCTGAATAGTGCTCCTACATGTGTTCTTTACTGCTAAGCCTATATGATTCCTTCAATAAAAAAACAAGAAAAAGTGAACAAAATGGCACAGGAGCGTTGAGAAAACTAACGAAACTGAAGAGAAATACATTTTAGCAGGATTCAAAGATTCAAGAATCTGAACAGCAACTTTCTTCGGGTTTTTTTTTAATTGTAATGGATGCAGAACAGTATGAAACGCCAAAATCTCAGAATGGAAATGGAAGGAATTAAAAACGGACAGTGGAAATTTTCACCTGATCGCTGAAATTCTTGAAGGAAAGAAGAGGAAAAATTGGAAGAATACGATCGATAAACTGAAACGATGCATTGATGTTCTGTTATCTGATCAATAATTAAAACTCAGAAATTAGAATCTTTTGAGAAGCCGGCATTTGATCGGATTCAGCACCTTCCCGCGTGTCGGATCTCTCCCCTCCGTTTTGATCGGATTTAAAATGTCTATGTAAGTATGGTTTAAGAAAAGAAGCATTTGAATCCTGTTTAGTTGAGATTGCTGACGTGGCGGGTTGGTTGGGTGATTAGGCATTGACGTGGCCGGTCTAACATTTGGACCGATGAAACCAGGAAGAGGCTGAAGAAGTAATCGCCAAATTTACTTCCAAAATATAGATGGGGACGAAATTCCTAAACCCATAAGATCTTAAAAGTAAGAGTGTTCATATGACTGAGAAATTCTTAAATCCATAAAGTAAGAGCGTTCATATGACTGAGAAATTCTTAAATCCATAAGATCTTAAAAGTAAAAGTGTTCATATGACTCGAGAACCTTACCATTTTAGACTACAAGAAATGGTTTGAAACAAAATCCTCAAACCTATGTCCCCGAAACAGAACCCTCAAACCTATGTCCCCTACGATCTTAAAAGTAAGAGTGCTCATATGACTCGAGACCTAGACTACAAGAAATGATTGGAGATAGAATTCTCAAAACCATGAATCACTAAAATCTTAAAGTAAGAGTATCCATATGACTCGAACCTGGCTATTTGAAACTACTCAACTTCGAGTTGTTTGGGTCACCAACCAAATCAAACTAAAATTTGGATTGGTCCAAAAGATTTTTCTAACCCGACTCAACTCGTGTACACCCAAACTTTAAGTGATACTTTGAAATTTGAGCTATTCATACAGCAACAACGCGGATGGGGGAATCGAAATGCTGAAACTGATCGAAAACGCGTGCTTATCACTCATTTAAACTCTATTCTCATAGAGATAGAAGGCAAATATAATTACGCATTTATATGTATATATAACATAAGATTTTATGCAATAAATACCAATCCCCCAGCAGAGAGTACAAGGTACAACAACAGTGGAGCATATCCATATAACAAACCATCCACACAACTCTGAACTCCAAATGTAAACTTACTCGAAATCTAAATCTTGTCGATATCTTCGTCCTCGAACTCAAGATAGTCATCAGCACCACCATCATCCTCATCGTCGATACCACCAGCAATACCCTCGTTGAGACGGGTGTTCTCAGGAAGTTCACCATATGCCTTCAACAGCCTTGCTTCATCGGGCATATACTTGAGGATAACATCAGCTTTGTCATCCTGGTAGTCGCGAAGACCGACAAGTATTATATCGCCAGCTGCAATCCAAACCTTTTTGTGCATCTTCCCCCGGATATGGCATAGACGCTTTGTCCCATCTATGCACGTCGCCTCACACCGACCATTCCCTAACATTCTGAGAACCTGGGCATACTCCTGACCATCTTCCTTGAAAACAAGCTCACGTTTCTCATCATCTGCTTCGTTCTTTCCTCTCTTCCTGTTCTTTCCTCCCTTTCCCTTGTTCTTCGGCATGTTTTCTGTTCTGTGTTACATTTGAAATGCAATATGAGCAGTTGCAATACCACCAACATACAGAGTTATTGTTCGTGCCATTAAGAAAATATGAGGTAAAACTCCAACTTTGCACACTTGAAATAATTAGGATTTAGATAATATAAATCAGTCTAAACTAAACAACTAGCATCAAGATAAACAGAATATAAACAGAAAGAAAGCAAAGAAATTACAAAACAATTGCACCAAACGTCGAAACAGAGCTTACAAGAACAGGCAAGGCACCTATTTATCACTTGGTGTTAGTAATGTTAGAAGTATGCCCTTTTTCTTCCGGTATGCAATTGTTCAGAAAATTGAAGTCAACTCCCAAGCACCCAACACACGCGATGAGATGAACAAAACGAACAACTAATGATCAAATTTACAGCCATACGACGATTGGTACCCTCAATACCTAGCTACTACAACTCAGGGGCGCAGACCAGAGTGACTCTGATAATATTCCACACATTCCATGTAAAGATGTCATAAATATACGATCATCAAGAATCAACAAATAAAGGACATAATTATGATAAATATACTCTTGAACAGAAGGATGCATACCAGCCACTAAAGCAGCAGCGAGAGAAAAAAAAAATGTTTTCTAACATGATTTGCGAAGAGCCATCTCGCAATTTGAATGTTCAATAAAAAATTTCAAACTGGGGCATCATCTTTCAGGTTCATGACTACTTTTCATCAAGATTTCAAACCCCAAGATGAATCATTAGATACAAAAGTGTGGTATATTGTCCTGTCCAGCTATATTTACATTCCTTATTCTAGTCTTTTGCTTCTTACTTTGAACTAAGAGAGAATCATATGTCCTATCAAGATGGGGTAGGGCGGGGCGAGAGAGAGAGAGAGAGAGCCATATACGTTTTCTTCTTTTTCTTCTCCCAAAATCATTAATTCCTTTAATTTACATCATATAAGAGAAAAGATTATCAAATTATAGAAGCCACCATGGTACTAAAAAGAATCAGATCGGAACAGTTAGAAGATATCTCTCTAATCACCTTGGTAGGTAGAACTCAGATCGTTTCGATCAAAATCACAAAAAAAAAAAAAAAAAAAAAAAAGAACGCAGTCCTCATATACAGATAGTGATTCAGCCGGAGAAATGAAAAGATTATCAGAGCATAGAAAGTTACATACCGAAGTGATCAGGAACCTGCCAAGTTAAGAATCGAGCGAGAGAGACGATCCAAATGAGGGAGAGAGGAAGAGGGAAAAACCCTAGCCCCTTATACAAAGACGGAATATCGCAAAAGAGAGGAGAGAGAGGCTATAGGCACTTTTCCCGAAAAACCCCCCAATCTCTTGTAAACTACAAAAGTACCCCTTCACTTTTAGGGAATTATTATTTTGGTCCTATTTAATTTCTTAAGTTTAAAAAGTGTTAAATACACTTACAATTTTATATTTAATAACTTTCCAAATGTTTAATTATGTCTAACTATTATCTATTAAATAATATTTGTGGACCACATGGAAGTCTAAACTTGTAATTTAACCCAAAAAAATAATTAAATAAACATTATAATTAAAACTAGACTCAAGGACAAAAGGGTAATTTCATCTTTGATCTAATGAACCTTAAACTAAGATTAAGGTTTACTTAATGTTTATGGTCTGTTTGTTAAATAAGAAACTATGTCACCCATAATTCACTAATAATTATTAAATGATCCCAAAAGTTTAGGGTTTATATTGAACAAACTAATATCAGTAAAACTAAAGCTCCTAAGCTACTCTTTCATCTTTGCTGCAACATCTAATCGTCTTCAAACGAAGAAATGGCTACTGAAATGGGACAAAACATCTCAATGATACACTGACTTAAGCAGCACCAGCTCCTTTTCCCTTCTTCCTTTGAAGGTTCTTCATGTAGAACTCGAAATCTTTGCCCTCCAAATAGGCTAAAAACTCAGCAAGACTCACCAAAAACGCTTCGATGTTCGCGCTCAAACAAGTTGCGACAAGAATACATCAAAGACAAGCTAGATCACAAGGCATTTCAACTGCTTACCCATCGAGCCGATCGCATTGACCCGGTCTTGATGAGATACAGGCCATCAAACGACCACCGCTGAATTGTTCTTCAATATGAGGATCAAGCTTACGATCCTGCTGACATGGTTGCTCTTCGTCGCCTCCTCGCTCGGAGCATCACCTTCCTACCGATCATACAAAACAAGTTGTGTTTAAGGATCATGTATATCATTCCCATAAAAAACAGGTGCTCAAATCACTCGAACTACCGAAGTTTGTTCTACCTTGTCCTTCTTAGCAGCTGCTGAGGTCTTCTTCTTCCGTCCAATATCCACTCCATAATGCTGAAGGTACCACTGTTTGAATGGTGCTGCATCAACCTGAACAATTTCACCAAGGTTTGAGTACGAACAAGCTCGCTGTTAGATGCATTGTACACCACATCGGGAATACGGGTCTTTCTCGTCACAGCCTCACTACCCCAAGAGTAGTTTCCAGTATCGAGCCTAAATCCACGCCACTTCACATTACCAACATAAGCTCTCATGGTTTTGCTTTTAGTTTCCCAAAAAGCCTCGTACCAATGGAGATGTATTCTTTACTTATAAACCCATGATCATTTCCTAAATTAGCCAGCGTAGGACTCCCTCCCAACAATCCTGGACAATTCTATATACCTGTTAGCAACTAATTTGGGCAATATGAGCAGAGATAGTTACTTTCTCTTCTTCCTCCCAGCCTTCTTCTTTCCTCCAATGCCACGCCTCTAGTGCATAGAATCACGAGAAATACCTATGCACAAAGTTCTCCAAGATTAACGAAAATGAAGACAACGTCACAAATGAAACAAAATGAAAATCTGTATCTAACATACCCATCTTGGTGAGACGAGAGCTCTTCTGGGAAGAGGAGTTCTAAAGTTCCTGTTTGAAAACAAGTCAAAGAATTAGCAGACTATGATCCAATCCTCAACCTTAACCTTCAAAAGCAAATGTGTGACATAGAAAGAGTAGGAAAACTATCTGTGGATTTCCCAATTGAAACTAACGCCAAATTTCATCAGAAATTTAGATCTTCCTCCGACTTAAACGCATCAATTTTCTTATAGAATTCACTCTTGGACCTCACATTTTCTAAATCAGTTCTAAGTAGTCACTGTTTTGAAAAAAAGACTAAACAGTCGAATTACAGGGCCCCAATGTCACGATAAAATCCAGTCAATTAAAACGCAACACTCCCAATCGATTTCAAAGCTTAAAACCATTAGAATATAGAACTCAAATCCTATCAATCAAAATCAGAAACCAAAATTATTTAGTGATTGCTAACCTGCCAAGCCCGATTTCAAAGCTTAAAACCATTAGAATATAGAACTCAAATCCTATCCATCCAAATCAGAAATCAAAAATTATTTAGTGATTACTAACCTGCCAAGCCAAGAATCGAGTGAGATGAATCCTATCCATCCAAATCAGAAATCAAAAATTATTTAGTGATTACTAACCTGCCAAGCCAAGAATCGAGTGAGATGAGCGGTTGAAGGACGAGGAAAACCCTACCCTCTAAACAAAGAGTATAATCGACGGAGGAGTATAACAGAATTACAAAAATACTCTTGGAAATTTTTAGGTGCAAAATTAATTTTAAAACATTATAATTTTTTTTTTTTTATAAATATAATGATTTAGGTTATAAACTCTTTTTTTTTAATTAAAATATATATAATATTATATAATGTTACATCAATTAATTCTACCAAAATTATAACATAAACATATTAGTATATTAACTAATAATACTCAAGATTCATAAACCTTCACTAATTTTAAATTATCTAAAATTATCTATTAAGATTCTAATAAAATTTCAATAATTTAAACTATTAAATAAAATTCATAAACCTTTATTAATTTTAAATTATCTATTAAGATTTTAATAAAATTTCAATAATTTAAATTATTAAATAAAATTCATAAACCTTTATTAATTTTAAATTATATTCTAATAATTTGAATAATTTAAATGAAAAAAAAGATTTTATTGGATTAATTTAATAAAATTTCAATAGCTAAAATTTTCTAAAATAAATATTCTTTTTCTAAAAAAAATCTTTAATTTTTAAAATAAATATTTTTAAAAATTATTTATCCGTTATTTAAATAAATAAATCATCTTGAAACCAATAGCATTTTTTTAAAAAATAGTTTTATCCGAAATATATATTTTCTATTGTATCGATTTTCATTATATATATATATATATATATACTTGAAACCCGGATTAGCCATTGCCGGGCCTTGTCTAGTACAAGATTATATGGTAATGGAACCAATAATTAAAAATTTTATTTAAAAAAGTTATTATTATTTTTCCCTAATCCTTATAGAATTTTGAAATGGAAAATTATAAATATGAAACTTCTTCCTTCCAAACTAACTCCAAATCACTGCGAACTCTAAATCACTTCTTTCTTATTCTCTGTCGAGCATTCCATATCCCGATCAGAATCCGACAATGGCGATGTCGACTAGTAATGTGGTGCTTCAGCAGTCGCCGACGGCAATGACGATGCTTCCGAAAAATCAATCGATGAGATTCGAGAATGACTTTAGGCTCGCTGATCAATCCATGAGTGAGGCGGAGATTTATCATAAGGCTTATCTGAATCTATATAACGTAGATTTGCCTCCATTCGAGACTTTTGACAACGGCGTCTGTGAGGCGGAGTTTTATTGTCCTAATGAAACGATGCCGTTTTGTGCTCCTCCCACTTACAATAACTTATCTCCTCCGGCTCCGGCTCCAACTCCAACTCCGGCTCCGGCTCCGACTCTGACTCTGGCTCCGGCGTTTTATTGCCCTAATTATAGCTATGAAATAATGACGTTTTGTGCTCCTTCCACTTACAATAACATAGCTCCTCCGGCTCCGGCTCTGGCTCCGACTCCGACTCCGATGGAGAGTACTGGTTTCCTTTCAGATGTCATCAATTTTTGCTCCAATAATACCAGACATGTTGTAGCGGCAAACAATGGCAGAGTCAGCCAATCATCAAAAACGAGGATAATTTGGACAATTGACGAGCACAAGTAAAACAACTAAAATAACTGTGTAATTTGTGTAATAACTATGGTTAAAAAATCGAATAATTGTATTTTTTGTGTGTGCAGGTTATTTTTAGTAGGGATGGAGATATTTGGCTCGGGTAATTGGAAAAGCATCGCAAATAAAGTCGTGCTTACAAAAACTCACACGCAAGTAGCTAGTCACGCTCAAAAGTTTTTCACTCGCCAACAAATACCAAAAGAACAGCGAAAAAGAAAGAGTATTCATGATATCGATACGGTCGATCCCGAATTATTGTCGGAGGTGTATGCTCGTTTAGAATCACAACCAGAAACACGAACACGATCACGACCACGACCACGACCACTACTGCCACGACCATTGTTGACAAACTATTTACCGTCGCGCATGAATCCAGATCCGACCCAACCGTACGAGCAATTCAATAATTACGTGCCCAATGTTGAACAGCTGCCACCGCAGCCATACTTTGTGCATAACCAGAACGTTATCCACTAAACAATAGATTTGAATTTGATTTTTTTTTGTTCTATTTGTCGTTACCAAAGATTTATTTTGTTATTACATAGATTTATTTTGTTTTATATTTATATATATTTTTTAAATTCTCATAATATCTCTATAATATTAATATGGTATGAACTTTTAGTCCAATTAAAAAAAAATTATTAAAAAAAAATAAAAATTAACTCTTTGCAAACTATTATTATGGACATAGACTTAATATAATAAAAAAAAATAATAATAAATTTAAATTATTACAAGTTTCGTGTTTATTATGGACAGACTTAATATAATTAAAAATAATAATAATAAATTTAAATTATTACAAGTTTCGTGTTTATTATGGACAGACTTAATATAATTAAAAATAATAATAAATTTAAATTATTACAAGTTTCGTGTTTATTATGGACAGACTTAATATAATTAAAAAATAATAATAATAAATTTAAATTATTACAAGTTTCGTGTTTATTATGGACAGACTTAA